GGCTATTATGAAAACAGCAAGGAGAAACTCTTGACCCCTCACTGACCAATTACACATGGTTTATATTATGTTGCAATCTCTTGTGTTTGTGAGTTAAATTTTACTCAAGTCTCAAAAGTACATATGAAGTCCCTAGAAATATGCTTTATATTTTCATATAAGTGTTTAAAGCATCATTGAAGCCCCATTACTGTTCTTATCTATTTATTAATGTTTACAAAGTATCAACAAAGTCCCTGGCACTTCCAGCAGAAGTTCCCTGGGCTTCTACTGAAGCAGGTATGTGTTTAAGGAAGAGTATACTTGAAGTTCCAGGGGCTTCATTTGAAGTATGGTTGTTGTGTATCATTGAAGTATGTAGGACTTCAGGTGAAGCAGGTCTTATTATCTGTAAGTATATCTGAAGTACTTTTCAGGTATACTTAAAGCTGGGGGACTTACCTGAAGCATGTGCTTCATTTGTGGCTGGGGAGGCAGTTCCGAATGTCACACCAACAAGAGTTCTTGACAAACTTACGACGTGCCTTCACATGAGTGATAAAATTCTCTAATTGTCCTCATGTAAATTGCCGTACTCGTATATAAAAATAAACAGTAAAAAAAAGTTTTGTTTGCTAACTTCCATGACCAGGTGTCATGTGATAATTACTAGTGATATATGAGTATTTAATATAAGCTGGTAAAGTTATCACCCTTTCCTTTTGTCACAAGTTTTGTAACTCGCTTGTAAACATCAAAGGCTTAAACTGAGACCAGTCCATTAGTCAAAGTTCCGATGTGTCGATTTTTTACACAAATCCTTTCAACTTGAGACTACTTACCAAAGTTCTACTGTACTTAACTAAATACTAAAGATCCTGTAACTTACTTACTACTAACAACACTGATCCAAAAACAATGCAGAAGATGGGCCTTACACAAGTACAGACATTTTTTGTAATTCTCAGATCTTACACTATGGATAATAAACTTAATCCGGATCTTAGCAACTGTCCAAGGGTACAAATAATCTTTGCCAATATTGAAGGTTATAATAATTTATTGTTCTCAATAAAGCTGTCAATGCCATGCACTAAATTTTATTACTGATATATTTTAACTTTTTAAGTGTAAAAGTTACCAACCCACATTAATTTTGCAGAGTTGTGGTCAGGTGTATGAATTCCTATAGCCTGTAACAGAAGTGTACTGTAGGTATCATTATTAAATGTGTAACATTTCTATTATTGTTGGTCATGTCCAGCCAAGACATAAAGAGTTGTGCTTTTGTTTTGGACAACTGAATTTTTAATCACGAAAAGAATAATTGCTTTATAATATTTGGTCTAGAGTGGCTGGGTTTTCGTTTGGGGCTGCTTCTTGGCTCAATTTTTGGTCTGACAGGACAAATAAAATATCACTTTTTGGTATTTCAAAAAAGTTACCTTTCCTTAATTTGAAGAATATCCATTAACAATAATAAGCTTTTAAGTTGTTATTATTTCTATTTCAAGCTCAATAAGGTCTATTTTAGCTCATAATGGTCTACTTTTAGTTCAGATGGGCCAGTCAAAAACAACAATGCAAGAATATTGATATAATTATGTGCATTTTTGCAAGATAATTTCCACAGCAGAAGTTCAGTTGAAAACTGACTCTAAACACAAGTGATAAGACAAACTTATGATCTTTTTCTTTCATTTATATAATTCATTCAAAGCAGTACCTACTGCATAACTGACATTTGGTTAGACAATTACAAGATCATTATCAAATCCCATGTTTAAAACATCATAAAGCCTATTTTATTACCTTTTTTTTCTGTCCAATAAGTACTGGTCTCAGGCTTGACATCTTCTAAATCTTCTAAGTAACTCTAAGGAATCAGAACCACTCAAACTGTCTCAAGTGTCTTAAAAATTATCAGTTTTTCTCCATAGTTTAAATTCCAAAACAACTTAAAATTTGGCTGATACGCCATTCTTATGGTTATTCAAGAATTAACATAAAATTTATGCTATGTGTGTTAGTATGTTTACTTACTGGTATTTGAAAAATTCATTCAAATTACATCAAACATGTCCTAGACATAATAAGCTTTATAATACATACATTATTATACATGTAATGTTAGCGAAAATGCAAAATCTACAAAACAACAAAACATAGCAGGTTAAGCCCAACCCCCTCTTAAAGTATCTCAAAAATAAGATACACATGCACACACATTTCACTGTTTTGTTAGTTTGCAGACAGTGTAACAGCATATGACAGCAGGACAAGAGACAAGCTCAAATCTAAATACCCCACCCGCTAAGTCAGGGCATAAAAATCATGATTTTTTCCAACTTGTGAAGAAGAGAAAACATGAATGTTAAACATGTAACAGTAAAACTGTTGCTCACAGAAGCTGGAAACATTATCATGGGGCAGTTATTTCAACTTTCCAGCATTCACAACCTGTTGAAACAGTTTATTTACACTGTACTTTTCATGCATTTTAACAGGATCATTTTACTGTTGTAGGACTTACCTAATATGAAAGGTACTTTAATTTTTCACATAAACATATCACAATATATCATTTCTATGCTGGCAATTCATATACCGTAATTAAATTAATAAATACACACTTCTTAATACATATACCAATCTAGCCTAGTATTTCATGACACTGTCCAGGGACCTTCAGGGGAACAGGTCTGAGTCTATCCAACGGGAACATTGGTGTGGTGAAATTAGGTGAGATGAGCGAAAATAGTTCATTTAAACAGCAAAACTTACTACTGAGACAAAATAAATTATAAAATTTCTGGAAATTTTTTCTGAAAAATGAGTTGCTATACAGTAAAGAAGGGAATTACTACTCCACTGGAAATGAATTTCATCACAGAATCGCTCTAAAAATATGTTACAAAATTCTGTAAAATTGAAAAGACAAATAAGCATGACTATAATTCTGATGTATTTTTTCAAGTGGAAATTTCGGCAGCAGCCGTCTCAAAATAGATCTGGCTGATTTATTTCACACATCTTTTATATGAGACAGCCAGGCAAAAAATGTCTGTTTTATTTTTACTTTAACAATAATGTACAGGTTTCTAGGTCTCTCATATTTATTTATTTTCTCTCATTGAAAATTGTAACAATCATCATATAATGCTGAAAACAAATTGAATTTTCAAACTACAATGTCTACACACAACACATAATAAGTCTATATTAAGTAACATATATGTTCAATACCTGGCCCTAAGTATTATGCCAAAGGTTATTTGACAATTGGACATTTTATCTGAGGACGAATATAGAAAAAATAGCTGAGTGTTTATTGCAAATAAACCCTTAACCAACTAAATATCTTATACTAGGACTTGTCCATCTTTAAATCGAGACAAAGACAAAATTAATGATCTCATCAGTTTAAGGCATAATGTACAGAGTGAATTGTAAACAGTGTAGACTATAATGAGATTAGTTTAGTTCAAATGTACCAGCTGATTAGGTTCATGGTGGTGGTAGTTTTCTCTGCGGATCACAGCAGTAAGCCACATTGAATTTACCAGAGCACAGTTTAGTCTGGGTAGGCTGTCAAGCTACGTAACCAGTACAAGTTGCCTTCACTTTGGCATAGAATTGACATTTCTGTACATACCAGAGCAGAGGTAAAGTGCGAATGACTGTAGGAAGGATTTAATGATCAATCACAACAAAACTTGAAAAGTGAACAGCGCCGTCAGGGAATCGAACCTGGGCCTCCCAATTCACAATCAAAATTTTAATGCTCTACCTATTGAGCTAACCAGACGGTTTTAAGTCAATATTCGTTTACAGTTGAATTTATAATACTGCATGTTTGTATCGTTGTTTTTCATTGGATAATCAAGGTGTTTATATATCCTATATACACCACTGTGGTCAATTTATGAAGTTATTTCATTTTTTCTCTTATATAGCAAGTATGCAGTATTATAAACTCATTATAAAGATTCTTGTATCTATCATAGTTTATCATAAGCTACATGTATGTATAGCTTTTAATCGATCTAGGTCAGCATGGGGTAAAGTTGGTCGCCACTAGCAGGCTATGCGTAAAATGCCTCTATAAGTTTCTTTCTTTGGATATAAACTTACATAAGAGTAAAACAGCAGTCATCTTAAAACATGCAACAAGTTTTCTTTACTAAATATATGATATATTTCAAGAAGCATGCCTCCAGAGGTTAAACAAATATTCTCTAAAACATTGATTTTAAGAAAAATATATTAACAGTTCAAGAAATGTTAAAATATTCCAAATCAAAACACTTTTACACATTTTGAACATTTTTTTTGACATCTAAATTTCACAAAAATTACTATGAATCTGGAGGAATGCTGCTTAAACAATGATAAACAGTCGAGAATTTCAAACCATCTAAAGAAATAGATTATGCATATTGTAGAAGAAAATCAACATAGATTAGAGTATGAAAGACCCTATAAGGCCTAAAATATTTTATTTGTTTTTCTGTTCCTGCTAACTAAGTTACCAACCACGAAAATCAAAGCAGCAGTCAGCCAATGATAATAACATCTGTTTCATGTTTTTGCAAAATATGTTACATTAATCAAAATTTTGAAAGTTTGGTTTTAAACTATAAACATATACTAAGCATGAATGCTTTCTTTTCTTCCATCATACCATGTTTATGGTGACCCTAGTCATTATCAATTGCAAGTGAAGTTATAAAACAGTTTTGCATTTTTATTAATCTCCATGTTGATTTTCTTCTCATAAAATCTTAAAGACCACCTTTCAATCCATTCTGAGTTTAATTTGTTTTTTAAATGTGTAAAAATATTTCATTTAAAAAAGAAAAAAAACAACCTTTTTTGAGCCAACAAATTAAATGATGGATAAACAATACACCTTGTTGTATGTATTGTTGAAGTTGAAATCTGAGGGAATTTTTTAACAATTAATATGCCAGAAATGCAGAGAAAGATGGCCTTTAAAGTTATTACAAAAGTTCACTTACTGTAACCTTGAGATGAGAGGTCAGCCTGGTTCCCGGCAGCACCTTGAGTATTGTCATAATTCATTCCAATGGATATATTTGGATCCCAGCTCTCCTGTGAAACAGCTGGTCTACCTGGCTCTACACCTGTAATCTCTAACTCAAGTTCACTTTCACTTATTGCTTCCATCTTAACATAATCAGACTGATCATTCTCACTTCCCGGAGTTTGATCAGATCCTGAGATCACGTTTGTTAAATCGGAATCAAATCCAAGTCCTTCCGAAGTTTGTTCGTGATGTAAATTAGAGTTAGAAGTTTCAGATGTAGCATCATCCTCTTTATCCGCACAGTGAGAGCTCATATTTTGTGTGGCATCCATTTCATGGGATGCTGATTCTTTTGAATTGTCAATAGTTTTGCTATTTAACACATCAACTTCACTTTGTTCAGTAGATTCATTATCACTAGTAGGTTCTATTTTAATTATCTGTTCTACAATTTTATCATCATCCTTCACAGGACTGAAACTTGAATCAAGAACTGGATTTCTGCCACTGCTTATAGACGGTCTCTTTGGCGGTCTAGTTTGACGGTAAGGCTCATACCTGACACCAGTGGATCTTATTGCAGATGACCTAAGCATCGCCACTGGATGCACTGGAGGAGGACCTTGACCTCTAGGAGATTGAAAGGTCATCATTTTGGAGAGATATTTTTCAGGTGACCTGGTGTAAACATTTTGGTGTGCTTGCATACTTTGTTGTAACGCTTCTGCAGCCTTCAGTTTCTCTTCTTCCTGTTTTCTGTTATGATGGTCTGAAATCAAAGTCAAACTTCTGATCATTTCAATTAAAATACATCAAATTTCTGGGCTCTTAAAGTTGTTTAAATCATAATTTTCATTACAATTTAAAGCAACCTTCAGCTTTTCTAAAGTTTAAATATGTTATTTTACTATGAATTGTTACACATAATTCTCAAATCAAAACAATTAAGGTTGAAAATGAAACTTGCCCTCAATAAAATAAACAAGAGGGCCATGATGGCCCTGAGGTCGCTCACCTGTATATAGGCCCCCGAAAGCAGGGCCAGTTTAAACCCCAGGGCTTTTACTTGAACAAACCTGGAAGACACCCATTAGAAGATGTTTCATGGTGTTAAGTTTTTACTACACACATATAATGAAAAACAATGATCTCTGCTCTCTCCCCCCCCCTCCCCCCCCCCCGGCAGGGCCAATTTTAACCCAAGGGCTTTTATTTGAACAAACTTGGTAGACACCCATAAGAAGATGTTTCATGCTTGACATCTAAGCTCTAGCTCAATGGGTTTTTTAAAAGAAGATTTTTTAAGTTTTTACTATACACATATAGTTAAAAACAATGACACCCCTGGGGCGGGGCCAATTTTGACCCCAGGGCTTTTATTTGAACAAACTTGGTAGACACTAACTAGAAGATGTTTCATGCCAAATATCTAAGCTCTAGCTCTTAAGGTTTTTTTAAAGAAGATATTTTAAGTTTTTTCTTTCGGTTGCCATGGCAACCAGAGTTCTGCATGGAATTAAATTCTTTGAACAATTTTTAAAGGTGACCACCAAAGGAATATTCCTGTGAAGTTTGGATGAAATTGGCCTAGTGGTTTATGACGAGATGTCATTTAAAGTAAAAGTTTACGGACGACCGACGGACGGACGCCGGACAAAAAGCGATCACAAAAGCTCACCCTGTCACTTTGTGACAGGTGAGCTAATAAATCAACTTAAAGTAATTTGTTTTATTTGTTAGTCTACATTAAAAACATATACTTGCTATTGATTTCAATGGTAGGAAATTACTAACTATTGAAACCAATGTTAAGAAAAAGTGTAATAAGAAAATGTGGAAAAAAAAACCAACACATAATAACATTCCGGATTTTGCCTTAAAACAACACAAAATTCCCTTCCTTAGGGTATGGGTACCTGTCCCCAATAGGTGTCTACAGGGTTCGTACAGACATCCAATGCCAAAATTCAAGGACTTTTTAAGCACTTTTTAAGCAAGCACTTTTTAAGCACATTTTCCCATTTTTCAAGCCCATTTGTCGCACATATATCAACACAATCTTCAACCTAAGCAGGATAGTTTATTTGCCATTTTTTGTTGAATACACATTTTCTAGCCACAATTTTAAGGAATTTATAGAAGTACAACAAAGGGCGCATCAAGTACAGATTAGTTCACAACAACTGCAATTTGTCCATCTACTGTTACATGAAGCAAACATTTCATTTATTTGATACTGAATTGGATCCTTCTTTTTATTTTGTTAACTGTTGATTGTTATCGACACTATGTCATTCAATCATTTTCAAGCAAATTTTCAGCAAATTTAAGCACTTTTTAAGCACTTTTCAAGAGCGTTATCAAATTCAAGGACTTTTAAGCACTTTTTTACATTTTTAAGCACTTTTTAAGAAAGGGACTCAAATATAAGCACTTTTTAAGACTGTACGAACCCTGGTCTAGTGCCCTGTATTCACCCAAAATTAAGGGCAGGGCTGCTTTCCCAACCTGTGTAAATGAGCCCAGGGTTTATACACTTACTTTTGAGGCAGAAGCCTAGGAACTGAGATTTTATGTCCTCGTGATCTTCAAGGAAACCTTTACCAAACTGGGAAAGCCCTAATGATTGAGGGTGTTCCATCTGCCACATGGCTGTCGAATCACAATTCTTCTTCTGTACTTGTATACCAGCTGTTCAACCTTTCTTGTAGAAAAAAAAAAAATTTTCCTTGGTTTAAAAGTCAAATATTAAATTTTGTTGTATAGCTTTATGTTGTACAGCATACAATCATAATAATTTCAAAATCTGTACAATCACATTGATTTCAGATTTTTATGGTTATATCTGATAGGGAATTTTAGCTAAAACTGTCCCTGTTATTAACATTTGTAAATCACATAAGAAAAGAGACTATCCTCCCTCCCCTGTTTTATTTGTGTGTTTCACATATAAGACAGAAAAACTAGTTATATGTTTGAAACATAGATAGTAAACAAAACAATTTCATGCAATCAACACCTTAGAAACAAGATATGTTTGTAAAACATGTATGCCCCCTATCAGCAGCCAATTATTCATGTGATAAGGTAATTATGCATGACTTCTGACCCAGTGATCAAACAATTAATAAGGGTTATCAAGTATCTACTGGTCATGACCTTGACCTTTGACCCCCTGACCCAAACTCAATAGGGGTCATCTGCTGGTCAAGACCAATCATCATACCAAAGTTTGAAGTTCCTAAGCGTTTAGTTAATTGATCAGAAACCGTTTTTACTTACAAGGTCAATGTGACCTTGACCTTGACCCCAAAATCAATAGGGGTCATTTGCTGGTCAATGACTAATCACCATGCCAAGTTTGAAGTTCCTTAGGCCTAAGGGTTTCTTTTATTATTGATCCGACACCGTTTAACATACAAGTCAATGTGACCTTGACCTTTGACCCCAAAATCAATAGGGGTCATCTGCTGATCATGACCAATCACTATGCCAAGTTTGAAGTTCCTAGGCCGAAGCGTTCTTTTAGTTATTGATCAGAAACCGTTTTTACTTACAAGGTCAATGTGACCTTGACCTTTGGACCCCTTGATCCCAAAATCGAAAGAGTAATCTGCTGGTCATGAAAAAATTCACCATACCAAGTTTGGAGTTCCTAGGCCTAAGTGTTCTTAAGTTATTGATCAGAAACCGTTTTTACTTACAAAGGTCGATGTGACCTTGACCTTTGACCCCTTGACCCAAAACTCAATAGGGGTCATCTGCTGGTCACCACCAATCATCATACAAAGTTTGAAGTTCCTAGCCTAAGCGTTTTAGTTAATTGATCGGAAACCGTTTTTACCTACAAGGTCAATGTTACATGACCTTTGACCCCTTGACCCTAAAAACAAAATAGGTCATCTGCTGGTCATTGACAAATCAACCATACCAAGTTTGAAGTTCCTTAGGCATAAGGGTTCTTAAGTTTTTGATCGGAAAGCATTTTTACCTACAAGGTCAATGTGACCTTGCCCTTTGACCCCTTAACCCCCAAAATCAGTAGGGGTCATCTGCTGGTCATGACCAATCACCATACCAAGTTTGAAGTTCCTAGGCCTAAGGGTTCTTTAGTTATTGATCGGAAACTGCTTTTTTTACCTAAGAGGTCAATGTGACCTTGACCTTTGACCCCTTGACCCCAAAATCAATAGGGGTCATCTACTGATCATGACCAATCACCATACAAGTTTGAAGTTCCTAGGCCTAAGGTTCTTTAGTTATTGATCGGAAACTGTTTTTACCTAAGAGGTCAATGTGACCTTGACCTTTGACCCCTTGACCCCAAAATCAATAGGGGTCATCTACTGATCATGACCAATCACCATATCAAGTTTTGAAGTCCCTAGGCCTAAGGGTTCTTTCGTTATTGATCGGAAACCGTTTTTACCTACAAGGTCAATGTGACCTTGACTTTGACCCCTTAACCCCAAAATCAATAGGGGTCATCTACTGATCATGACCAATCACCATATCAAGTTTGAAGTCCCTAGGCCTAAGAGTTCTTTTCGTTATTGATCGGAAACCGTTTTTACCTACAAGGTCAATGTGACCTTGACCTTTGACCACTTAACCCCAAAATCAATAGGGGTCATCTGCTGGTCATAACCAATCACCATACCAAGTTTGAAGTTCCTAGGCCTAAGGGTTCTTTTGTTATTGATCGGAAACCGTTTTTACCCAAGAGGTCAATGTGACCTTGACCTTTGACCCCTTGACCCCAAAATCAATAGGGGTCATCTACTGATAATGACCAATCACCATACCAAGTTTGAAGTTCCTAGGCCTTAAGGTTCTTTACTTATTGCTCGGAAACCATTTTTGCTTACAAGGTCAATGTGACCTTGACCTTTGACCCCTTGACCCCAAAATCAATAGGGGTCATCTACTGATCATGACAAATCACCATACCAAGTTTGAAGTTCCTAGGCCTTAAGGTTCTTTAGTTATTAGGGGTGTAACAATACAGCAAAAACCGTATTGCAATATATTGCCATTTTGCTGAAGCGTATTGCAATATATTGCAATACGTATTGTCGTGTATATGTTTTGATGTAAAGATGGAGTAACATTTATATATTATTATTTTATGTATATATTTTTAGTAGAAACTTAATAAAAATGTAAGGAATAAATAGAAAGTAGTGTCACACAATTTGATAAACAAAAACTAGTCGTGTGTAACCTTTCACATCTGGGCCGCTTATGTAAATTATGCGGCCGCTTATTGACTTTTAAGTGTACTAGTTGTCGGATACTTTTATCTTACGTTGGCGCCAACAAAATTTGCCAATTAAAGATTTTATGTGAAATTTGTACAAAATTAGAAGGCAATTAATTGAAAATTATGATTTTTATAAAATACCGGTTTTCCAAAAATAGTACTGCGGTTCGAAATTCATTTTTTCATATTGCAATATATCGGTATACCGGTAAACCGTTACACCCTTATTAGTTATTAATCGGAAACCGTTTTGCTTACAAGGTCAATGTGACCTTGACCTTTGACCCCTTGAGCCCAAAATCAATAGGGGTCATCTACTTGTCATGACCAATCACCATACCAAGTTTGAAGTTCCTAGGCCTAAGGGTTCTTTAGTTATCACTCGGAAACCATTTGGTCTACGGACCGACGGACCGACAAGTGCAAAGAAATATACCCCCTTTTCTTCGAAATGGGGGCATAAAAACTGAAATTACATATTTAAATTATAACTATTACATACCAGCTGTTGTATTTGACTTTTCAGGACAGATTGAGAAAACCTTGTAGCCAGGTATATCCTTGATGACGTCATAGTCTGGTGATGTCATCTTTGTAAGGTTATTTCACCTTATAAAACAA